AAAGATAATTAAAAGCTTAATGCGTTTTATAAAAAATAACTCTGAGCAAATGATATTCAAACAACAGCTTCTTCATAAAAAATGACTTTCAAAGTCAAATGTCAAACATACATCATCTCTAAATACAACCATTAATTTTTTTTTTAACTTTATTTGGGGGGGGGGGGGGGTGTTTACGGCCTTCTTTTTCTTGATTTTGAATTAAAGCCTTAATGACCTACAGGAACCCGTAGAAACAACAAACTGGCAGTAAATGTAATTTGGGCAGCAATTCTTAAGACAAGGTGCTTTCTTGCTTTCTTTAAGATACCGATTAACCAAACAACTCTGATCATTTTATTTTCCCCTTTACAATATGTAATCTGGCACTTTTGCTTGATCCATTACATCAACATTTATTTCAATCTGAGTTAACATACAACTGGAAAAATGTGAAATATTAAACTGCTACATGACAGACATTAACTATACTAATTATAATTTAGTAATTGACATCAAACTCTTCATGTTGCTTCACATTTAAAGCTTTGCTCAGCATCAGACTTATTGTGAAGTAGTCTTGATCTCCAACAATCCTTAGGTATACAAAATCATGTACTTCTGCTCTAGGGTTAGAGGTCAGCTAGTGCTGTGCGCCTGACGCAGTGGCACCAGCGCAGGTTTGTGCCGAGTCAGTGAGTTTGAGAAGACTTCAGTGAAACCGAGCCAGACCACGAATGACAAGGAGAGTCTGTCCAACAGGGAAGGTCAAATCAGAGCTGTTGACTTCTGATTTCTTCCACCTCTCTGTCTGCCTGCTCTCCTGCTGCTTTCAGCTCTACCCTCTGCTGCACCAGCCGGTCCCGAGCCTCCTGCAGCTCCTTGTTCAGCTCCAGATATCGACGACACTTCTGGAACCGTAGCTCCACCTCGCTGTCTGCGGCACGGGGCACGTCTGAGGAGGAAACAGAGTAAACCTTGAGATTTCGATCAGTTTATATATCTGCTATAAAGCAGCAGCGTCGGATGAAGTTTGAAGCAAGAAATCTACAGTGTCCCTGAGAGGTCAAATACACGGCACCTTAGAAAAACACTACAAAAACACACTAACAGACCTTGAACACTGGGGGAGAGAGTAACATGACTAAACTAACAGTAAATGTGTTTCTACATTATTAGGAGTCATGCAATTAGCTGTATCTTTTTCTGCCTCAAAGATAGGGCTGCTCGATTATGGCAAAAATGATAATCACGATTATTTTCACTGAAATTGAGATCACGATTATTTGACGATATTTATTTAACCCTTTAAGATCTACCATAGAACCAAGTCCACCAGAGCTTATATTATTTTTTTACATGTTGTAGTGCCATTTGTGGGAGCATTTCAAGTTGCTATACAACTGTTATAGCCCATATTTTAATAATATGTATGCATTAAGTCCATAGTAATTACATTAATTGCAAAAAAGTGCAATAAACTACAAAAAAATTGAAAATCGTTTTTGGGTTTTTTACATATATTTCTACTTGGATAAATTTAAGAGGCTTATCCCTCAAAACTTTAAATACAAAAAAGTTGCAAAAAATAGTTTACAACAACAGGAAATTTATTTTGAGTGTCTTCATAGTTTTATTTTGGAGATACACCAATTTTTATATACTGCAGGAAAAACAAAAAACAATCCTATGATGCAAATTTGCAAAGAAAACAGCAGGTGCATCAAAATAAACTATTTCCAGCAGTGAAGTTTGAGTTCTAAGCATCACAGCAACTATTCAGAAAAGTCAAACATGACCAGTATAAGCTTTTAAGGCCTACAAGTAAAAAACTACAATTTCCGCGAAAATGACGTCACTTCCGGTTTCGGCCAGGAAATGGCGACATGCGATAGTTCGCGCTGACTTCTGTTTTAATGTGGGAAGTGTTACGAACAGCTGATCGGATCGGCAAAGCGTGTTTCTGGAATATTATGTTTTTGTTCCTGCAAGAGCTTTTTATGCAATTTTTGCAAAGCTTTATGTGGAAGGAAACCGTGACCTAGGACAAGCTGATGGCATAAGATGTAAGTACAACTCCTCTGGTTTCATATGCAAAACAAATTATTGCGCTAGCTTACACGTTTCAGGTTCTACAGGGATTTAAAAATAGTTACACAAAACTGAGCGTGCTGCTCTGACCGGCTTTAAAGGGTTAACAATAACAATGTATTGAATAATGACTTTGAAAAATAATATAAAATAGTGTGCAACACCACTGAAGTTTTTTTTTAACCTCTCTTTTCAACCAACGGCAGTCACTCTCCTCTCCAAATAACTTCTGCTTAGCTTTCCGAGCTTCCCTCGGGTCCTCTTAATCAGCGGTCTCCAACCTTTTTTGCGCCATGGACCGTTTATGCCCGACAATATTTTCATGGACCGGTGTTGTGCCAAAAAGTGATTGTCTGCCAAAAACTGATTTCCGGTATTTGCCAAAAAGCGATTGCTCATATTTAAAGTGCTATAAGTAACTTGTTGGGCTATAATATGTTAAACATATGTCAAATGCATCCCTTATGGATGACATAAAGACATAAAAATAAAGTTCTATCTTATCTTATCTTAATCGGCTCAGTCATTTTTAATGATCGTTGAAAGCCCAGATCGTAATCGTGATTAAAATTCGATTAATTGAGCAGCCAGCCCTACTCACAGATGAACTTCCTTTTAGCACGTTTCAGTCCAATCCTGTGCATGTACTGCTTTCTGTCACTTTTGCAGCCATTACATCACGTTATTGTCTCCCCAAAATCACTCCCATTGTGTTTTGTTGTCAAACCCAGCAAGTGCATGTGGCTGCCTGCTCGCCCACCGAGCCAAAGTGGCACCCCGTCAAACCACATTGCTTGACTTGGAGATTATAGTTTAAATCACTAAAATTGATTCAAACACAAAAGAGTAGATGACAACATCACACCACCCTACTTCAAATATGCTGAACTATTCAAAAATAATATAAAATGGTTTACTTTGTGGGTTTTTTCCTGACCAAGAAGCTACTTACAATGGCCAGTGAAATGACAATTTCTGCCCCTTATATTCATCATCAGTCGTGACAAAAGTGACTGTGGCTTCTGACATGCTGCTTTAATGAAAGATCCCAAACTTGCTCTTTCTCTGTCTCTCCTTCCCAGTGCTCCCAGTTTTAAAAGTTGCCACTCACTATCATCCCCACCCTATACACGTCCTTGTGGAGTCACCTTGTCCAGTCTTTTCTAGGATGCTGAAGATCGGGTCATCAGGAGCAGCTCTGTCGAGGTCTTCCAGGATCTGGTCCACGGTCGGGGGCTCAGGACGGCTGGGCAGCACCATCCGCTTCTTACTTTTAGAGCCAATATTCATTCTCCTACAGTTTGAACTCCAGCTGCTTGCATGCAACACAAACCTGACCCCGGGTAACAGAGTTTATTTAATGAGGTCCAAATCTGCTTCTCGTGTTCAACAGCAATTTTATCACCAAACTATTACTGTTTGTCTTTAAGCTCCATTTAGAAAAAAAGTGGAGGATCTTTCGCAAAATAAAAAGCGTTTTAAATATATTTCCAAACTGCTGCGTTCTTCTTCGCCAAGTCGGCTTAAAGCAAGTCATTCAAGAATTATCTAAATCATAAGAGTGTACTTTATGAACTTCATCCATTCCTTTCTCTTTATAGAGCCGAACACAGCAATGCTAGCGGCTAGCCTAATCACTGTAAAAACGATTTGCAGCTAAATGTAGAAAAAAAAAATAAAACTGTAATTAACCGGTGGAATATTTTGAAGCCGAATTTTGGAAAAAATTCTGAAAATTGCTGAGAAGTATTTTTAACTACGACACATGCATTTATTTTAGCTGGATAGAGGTTCTATATTATTTCTGAATCTATGAAATAAGGGTTCGGCTGCATTAGGCGTAGCTGATGCACAGCACTTACCAGAGTTTGTCCTGGCTGGTGAAACCTTGCAGTGCGTCTCGACAGTCGTTCCCCGTCTTCACTGTTCGTTAACCCGGACTAAGGAGCACAAAAAAAACAAGCTAATTCTGCTGATAATACGGCTAACATTAGCAAACAAACTTAAACCTATGCACGTCAGTACGCCGCCTGCCACGTCAGCACGTCGGACGCGTCACATGACAAGTCAGAAGCTAAAAACTCTTCTTCTGAATTTTGATGCCGGATTCACCATAAATTGTATGTAAAATTAATTCTCTGTCACAAACATTTTCCAGCAAGTCATTAAAGCCTTTGAAATTGTCCTTTTAAGAATGAATTTGAAAATAACGTAACAATACACGATTCAAACAGACTTGTGTGGAGAAAAAAGTGAACTGAAGAGAAGATCAGATCAAGAATCAGAGCTTGAATAATAAAATCATTTCAGTTCAGGTGTAGCATTTCCCATTTGGCTTTGCTCACAGTTTGCTTTAAAAAAAATGCCGGTAACATGTATTCTCTTATGACTGGAACAGTACCTCCTGACATGCAACCTCCTAAATGAGGAATCCAACCATGACGGGATGGACATATTTTAGCTTCACTGGGAAGGAGTTCTCATGTTTTTCACCTTCATACATGTGCAATAATTATATATGAATATTAACCAAACCAGCAGTTGTTCAGTACATTTGCTGAAAAATGTCAGAAACTGTTTAAACTGTTGCACATTCATTTTCTTTTGATAGAAGACGAATCAGTAAATCTGCTAGTTTGCAAAGAGTTTTTATAGTTTTTCCTGCATGCTTGGTAGGAGCTGGTGAGGAGAGTTGTGTTAAGAAAACGATGATCTTACTGTCATCATTAGCAGGGATGGGCAAGATTTTCAGATATTTGTAAAGACTTTCATAGGAAACCCTGAATGTTTGTTTTTTATCTTAAAGTACTGTATGTAATTTGTCTTTGTTTCCAGGATGTAATGTACCAGAAGGTGGCAGTAATGCACATAGAAACAATATGTGGGCAATATTTCAAAAATAAAAACAGAAGGTGCAATAAACTAAAGCGTGTGTGACACAGTGAGGTTAGATTTTACTGTACGAACAGGAGAAACATGCAAAGCCAAGTACAGAGCCAACTGCTGCTGTTACAAAGTCAAGTGTGCAACTACTTACATAACAAATGATAAAAAAAAAAGGTCAAGTGCAAACTCCATCAGGTAAGCATGTCACAGTCTATCACAACAATGTGCAAACATGTGAACACATTAAAGAAGCTGTTTAGCTGAAGAGTGAAAATTGAATTATTCTGCACAGTTCTCATGTAAAGTGGATCTCATTTCCAGCTCCATGACTCTGCTTAGCTCACAATAGCACAAAAGCATTCATTTATCTCATTCATCTCAAATAGGAACAGGTCTACTACTCTAGTACACCTGTTTACTGTGATTATACAGTATTATCCAGGAACACATGACGTATTTCTTTGCACCCAAAGAATGTGACTATGACCTTCTGATCACTAGAGTACTGTCCATTTTTGCCTTGTTATGCTCATGATACACCTAAATAACAGATCTCCCTGGCAACACAAAAAAATTGTCATTTATTCTATGAGAAGAATAAAGAAGCTACTCATCTAAAGTCAAACTAGTAAAAAAATAAATAAATATATAAAGTCAAACTAGTCAGAGGGCAGAGCGAGTCACGAAGAGAAATAATTGGAATCCTTGGGCACCAAAAAAAGCAGTGCGGCAAGCGTTGTGCTAAACAGTAGATCCTGCAAATAAGACAAAACAGAAATCATTTCTGCTGAAGCCAGTTCATTCAAGTATTTGGAAAAATTTAAGTGCAGATGATGGAAAAAGTCTTTAGCTGCCCGGGTCTGAAAATAAATGATCACATCTGCAAAGACTTTGACAGACTCAGCTAAACAGTCCAGCCAGCTAGCAGTCCCATAGTTATGCTGCAAAAGTAGAATCCCCACAAACTTAGGTCAGACCAGCCTATAACAAAACCAACACTTAATTTTATTTCATAAAGAATCTTTAAATGTAAGGTGAACTTTTGACTTATTCTTATGAAGTGTGGATGTGAGCTTGATTTACTTTAGCAGACATTTAGATTCTGGGTCTTCTATCTGAATCAGGACAGTAGAAACAAGTAAAATCCAGGGCAACAATACAGCTTCTGTGAGTTATTTATAATCCAGATTCAGGAGGTTTGCATAGAAAAGATTTAATAACTTAAAAAAAAGAAGAAGAAAAGAATTGTCCCCAGAAATCTTGAAACAAAGAAGTAAAAAGATCTTTTCACAATGTCCTGCTGCACAACTACAACATGATTTTTAAAAAAAGGAAATCAGTCTCTTTGACAGAGGTAACAATCCTGTTGAAATCTGTCAGGATGATGAGGAAAAACCCTCTTTCCCTCCTTTTCTTCCTCACCAAGGCTCCTCCTCTTCCTCTGCTGCTATCTAAAGAACTGAATAAACAGCAAAGAAACACAGTCTCATTTATTATTTTACCGGATTGTGATTTCCTGCTTCTTTTTTTAATTTGTAAAGTAAAATCCTACCATAATTATTACGTTAATAAGAAGCATAGACATAGAATGTATTTATTATGGCGTGTTTTCAACACACAAACTAAATCCTGTTACTTGGTTATTTAAAGTAACTGAGTGTTTGTTTGCTTCCTTTTCATGTTCATCTCCTTTAATAGTTAAAAAAAACTGATTGAATAAGTTCAATTACAGGACGTATTTAATCCCCCACCTCCCCTCAAGCTAACTTTTTACTCTCCAGCTCAGTTGTAGAAACTGTTTGAACAGAACACAAATATCTGGATGTGAAGTTTGACTTTCAGAAAATATTTTAGAAAGAAAGTTATTTATCACCTCTGTATTACTTTGATTTGTTATTGTGAGTAACTTACCATCAGTCTACACTGAGTTCATCCTGATGAGCAGACATATAACAGACACAACCAAAGGTTAGAAACAAAAAACATTAAAATGGGAAGTGAAAAGTGAATTATTTGGGGGGGGGGTTCCTAAAACAACCTCATGGATTAATTTGAATACTTAAATTAATCTCTGAATGTACAGTTGTGGTCAGAAGTTTACGCACACTCATCATGGGCATGAATGTCATGGGTACTTGGTTTGGGACATTTTAATGTTTTTCACTAATCCACAGATGGTCAGAAGAATACAAACATGAACACAACTGAAACACAAATAAACTCTAACAATTCTGCCAAGAAGAGTGGTTAAATATCTGCTCAAAGCTTGCTGATGGATACCAGAAGTGTCTGGTCCAGGTGCAACTAGATAATGGACATTTAACCAAACATTAGTGGGGGTATGTGACTGTGTGGACTAGAGAAAATCCAAAATCACTCCAAAGTGCATCCAGTTCTTGTTGTTTTTTTTAAACATGCAAGGTGTACAGTTATTCCACCGTGGGAAGAGGAACAATTCAAAGAAATCTTGAAAAGCCCAAAATACCACGAGATTCATGCAGACGATGCCAATGATGAGTGTGCCTAAAGTTTCTGCCACCATGGTATGTTGATACACATCCAACCCACATGTTCTGCTTTGGTGTAGGTAGTGTGGAAGGAGAGCTGCAGCAAGACTGTAATTCTGGACTTACTCACTTTCAGATAAAATAATAATAATAATAATAATTTAGATTTTCTAAACATATTTATCTCATACTGGGCCTTTAGTTCACCCTCTGGTCCTGATCTTTACTCTGACCCAATGTTGAAAACTACTAAGCAGATCATTTTCTAGTGCTTCTGTTTCTTCTGCACCACTAAGAGCTGCAGGTAAAGTTGAGGAGGGAATATTAGAAGGTCAGTTCAGGTCTTCACACCTAGGATAAAGTATCCTGTCTGTTTTAGCTTCAGACCATTAAAAGCACTGCTGGTCTACATGCTTCACACCACATTCACTGTCTGTACAACACTGTGCTACTTTTTTAACACTTAACCAGCTGACTTACCAAACTGGTTAACCCAGGAAAGGCTGGAACAGGTAACAAGATAGCTGTATTAGCAACAGGTCAGAGTTTATTCCTCATCTCCTATATGAACACATAAACACTTGATGTAAATGAAGGACAGGTCTGTTCCAGCATCAACTGTGAGTCCACTTTAGCCAAACACAAGCAACAAAATCATAACTGGAGTCCACTTAACAGCCACAGGTGTCATTAATAACCGTGGATTTCTGTAAGTTATGTGGACAACTTTTATAGAAACAAATCAGCTTTCATCAGAGCTAAACAATTCTTGAACTCCAAGTACTGATCCGCTACATAAACAGTGTTAGTGGGATTCTATATTGAAGGGACTGCTGAGCAGTTTTCCCAGCTGGGTTACTGACAGTAAAGAGAGATGCTACAAGGCTTTCTGAGTGAGAACACATCACTCAGCAGCTTATAGAGAGGACATAAACCAGCAGACTGCAAGTTTCCTGAGCTGCTTTCACTGATATAATTCAAAGTGAACGGACTGAGTAAAGGGTGAAAACGTGTATTTTACATACTCTTCTTTCTTCGTTCATCTCTGATGGACCAACTTTAGCTGTGGATGTTTCTCCTGATGTACTTGGTAAACTTTTAGCTTCAGACTGAGCAACAGGTGGCGATGGTATGATCATGGCTTTATTCTTCACCAGAGTGGTCAGGACTAAGGAGGGAGAAGAGCGAGAGAGGAAGTACGTACATATTTAAATCTTCTGTAAAAGGCCCTAGCGGTGGTCCTGGGCCAGTTTTACCTTCTCTGGTGAGGTTCTCGGCAGCACTCATGGCCTTCCCACCGAGGTCGCTGACCATGTTGTCCACTGTGGCCTCATGGCGAAGGAAGACAGGCCGAACCACTTTGTTGTAGATAATCTGTGAGCCATTCCAGGACATTGGTGCCATGCACCATAGTAAGAAGAGACACTGGAACCACATAAGAAGGAGATTACTGGAGTCACTGAAACCTTTTACCTGATCTCAATTCTAGTATGACGGTCATAGCCCTTCAAAAAAGGTAGTAGTGGATATAAATGCAATATTGTTTCTATATTTCGTCCTAAAAGAAGCATTTTGTTCTTTAGGGTATGCTCCAAAAAGGGGTCTAGCATGTATCATTGCTTGCTACATGTCATCTCACCTTAAAAGCGTAGTAAAATGGGAACCAGTAGAGGAAAATATCAGAGAAGAACTCGCCCAGACTGAAGACACCGTACACCACCCAGTAGGTCAACCATTTTGTGTCATCTTCTTTGCACGGGCTTTCGATGGCTTTGACTCTGCACAAAGTTGGAGTATTGTAAAAGAGCTGAGAAACATGTTGATCCTTCAAATATGATAAAGACTTCTGTGCCTCTGCACCAGTAACACGACTATTTGCTTTAGTCACTGAACCGTATTACAGATATAAATATCATAAACTTTAACAGTGAAATCAGTCACAATTTCAATGATGTCAAAATTATCCAGACAAAGTCATCTTTATCAGTTGTGCTTCTTCAAGGGCAAAACCAGAATACACACCAGACAACATCCTTAAGCTTAATGACATTAATGTCTGAACATCTCTAATAAAATTATTTTTTGAAATGTCTCCAAATGTAGTAAAATGTCTTTATATAAATGCATAAAATGTCCAAATATCATTAAATATATACTGTGGAAAAGATCGCTGTATGCCAAAAATGTCACAAAAAGATAATAATACCAAGAAAACTCAGTGTATTGTAGGCACAGTTGTTATACTGAGACTGCCACATGGATCCACTGAGTATGACAATGACTTCCTACCACAACGAGGAAAAGAAAAAAGAAAAAATTAAAAATAAAAACTTACGAATAATAAGCTGGATAAACAAAACCAATCAGGTTGCAGAGGAGGGAGGCACCATATCCGTACACCAGGTAGAGTCCGGTCAGCGAGACGGCACCTGGATGAAGACACAGATGTTTGTTTTCTATGTACTGCTGCTATTTATTAATATAGTCTATTTCATTAGACTGCATTGCAAAAAACAGCCAGTTTAGCACAGACTCGACCAATTTGGAACCAAAATCATGCAGAAGAAAGTGTTTCCTGCAAAAGACTTCTTACTGACCAGCAATGTAGACGTGGGCAAAAGAACAGGGCCATAGCATTACATAATTTGATTTCATATCCAATGAACATGTGTTTGGACTATGAGAGGAAGCTGGAGTGTCCAGAGAGAACTCGTGTAAACACAGGTGAAACATGCTCCCCACAGAAAGGCACCAGACTGGATTCAAACTCAGGACTTCTTCTTGCTAAGAGGCAGCATTGCGATCTGTGGTTCCACCTAAATGTACATTTCCATATATTTCATAGCCTTCCATAACTTACAATGAAGAAAGGTGATGTCCATCATGAACAGGAAGTAAAACCTGTTTCGTTATCCATGTAAGACAGGAATAACAAGGTATATTCTCTGCACAGAGTGCAGAGCTCACAGGCCAACAGTGTGGGCGATTCAGCCAAATATCAAAACAAATCTGAACAACAAGCAAAATTTCACTGATTGGCTGACAGCCAGACAGACAGGAAGTACTGTAAAAAAGTGTCCTACCTCTGATCAGCTTATGTTGCTGTTCACACATGGAGGCGGCGCTGCTCTGCTGCCTGTCTCTGTGGATAATCAGCTTTAACGTCAAGGCTCAGAGCGGGAGACAGCGAGCACCAGGCACCACGCTGACATCATGTCCTGCTTAATGTGCTACAAATCCACTGCACCAGCATCAACGTGCTCTCAATACACTGCTGTTCCCTGCTCACTGGATCACTGTGTTCACACGGACCTGAGAGCCCTTTTAACACTACCAACAAAATACGCTGTTTGATCTGTATCTATTTTTAGAAAACAACAAAACTTTCTTGTAAAAATGTCGACATATTTATAAAACAATATAATGTGCAACAGCTCTAGAAATTCAGCAGGAAAGGCAGAAGTAGAGCAACGTGGTTGTTCTCTTCCCATTTTCTGTTAACACTGAACACACTGCTGTGGTGTTTGAATAACCTTTACTGAACTGACCGTAGACAAATCAAGTATGGACACACTGAGGTTTTGCCTTTAAGATTTTATGGCAGAAACGTTTTTTATTTCGAGCCAAACAATGAACTCCTGAAGCCACAGAGGCTTTCTTTGTCAAAGCTGGATGGAAATATATCAATCAGCAGCGGTTTGAGAGGGAAAAGCCATTTTTATGGTGAATGGACTGGTTCTTATATAGCACTTTTCTACTCTGTTTGAGCACTCAGAGTGCTTTACACAACTTATACATTCACACAAGCACTTTGTTCGTAGCTGTTTCTAAGCGCTTACTGTCTAACATTCACACACATTCATACTCCCATCCATGCATCGGAGAGCAACACGGGGTTAATATCTTGCCCAAGGATATTTGGCATGCAGACTGGAGCAGACTGGGATTGAAACACCTTCCAGTTAGTAGGTGACCTGCTCTACCACCTGAGCTCCAGTCACCCCATTTTTAGTTTGCTAATTTGGATGATTTGCCCTTTAGAAATGAAGATGAAGTAACATGGTGCAAACTAATTAAAATTCCTGAAACCAGAAACGCAACAAGACAATAAATCCCAAAATAATTAAATATGAAGAACAGTCTGAGAGTCTGTGTAACTCTTCCAAGGCCGGAAGTTTCAACCTTCCACCAAAGGAATTGGGTCCCAGGATCAAGAAGGATATTTGGATCTGTATTAGTTTGTGATGTCCACACAGGACTAAAAATAATTAACAGGCCTCCATCTAAATGGCTAACATGTTGTGACCATGTTAGGGACCACATGGTCTAGGAAACAACTGACAGTAAAGATGTATAATAAAGTCAAAAGAAAGAATCCTGTTAACAACCTCAGCTTCTGTTACCCTCTTGATACCCAAAAGATTACCAAAAATCTGTCGATGGGGAGAAGGTTAGGATTTGTTTTTGGGGGATTATTTGGTTTTTTTGGAGTTTTTTGTTGTTGTTTTTGTTGTTTATCTTTGTTTTGCTAAATTTGTGAAAACATTTTAAAATCTATAAAATCTGACGTCACAAGTGAAGTCTTGTGTATTTTGCTGTAACAGAGTTTCTTTTAAAAGATTCTCCATTTGTTGCTGCAAACGTGTGAAACTGGATGAGCTGCCAGTGTGGGTACGATTATTCTTTTGATTGTTTTTAAGCAGTTATAATTCTCTTATATCACCTGTCATTGTTTAAAGTGCCCTTTATGCTTATGAAATAATGTATCATTGTACACAATGACTGGCTTTGATCATTAGCCAGTTATCGTGGTACCTCAAACATCTGGTGTCCTATCAGAATTTGTTTGGGGTTTTTGTCTAAACCAAACTGTGACAGAGAATTTAATTAAAGGTGTTAAAATACAGCTTTAGTTCCACACAAGATACTAGTCCCAGTTTCAGTTTTTCCAATTTCATTGTACTATTGAGCCACGTATGACTGTGCAATAACAATAAAGAGTTATCTTGTCTTCCCCAAGAGAGAGAGTTATTCAAGGTTACAGCTGCAGAAAGCTTTGAGACTCCCGCAGGTTTCACTGAACCACATTAGTGTTTGTAGATATTTACCCATTCAGAGTGAAGGACTCCTGGTATGAAGCCTACACAGATATTTTATGACTGGTCTTCTGTGCAGCAGGCAAAAAGTTACACGTAAGCTCTGCGTAGGACCAGCATCAAACTGGGGTAAAACCAGTCCTTTAAAGCTGCTAACATAGTTGATCCAGGAACTAAAACATAAGAAGATAAGGAGACTTCTGCCCATCACTGCTTAGTCAGAGAAAGTACTAAACAGAAGACTTTCAGCTTTCAGCTCAGGGTGATACATGTCCTATCAAGGAACTGGACACAATGAAGCAGGCACTGCCACAAAACCAGGAGCTTAATGATGCTAAAACCCCGAGGGCCGCAGAGCCAGTTTATCTGAGTTCAGTATGACAAAATATTTATCAGTGCAGAGGATTAACTGCAGAATAAACGAAGCAGAAAACCTCCTGAACATTCCCAGCTTCCTGTTGTGGACGGTAGCTGATCACAGGAGGATTAACTGAATCCTCTTCAGGTTTCCACTGGCCTGCAACAAGCTTTATACAAACCAACTACATCTAGAACGAGAGCAGAATGATCCAGAATTAGCCATGTGCTACTACACAAAGCAGCAAGTTGGGAAAAAATAATTCTAGAAGATTAAATCACACGTACCAAGAGCAATGACCTTCTTCTTGATCCCAGTTTTCTCCTCCATTTTCCCCAGAATATCCGTCACCACATTTTTCTCATTTAGAAACTTTTCAGCTCGGTCTTTGATAGAGCTGATAATATTCAGCAGGCCCATTGTCCTCAATCTGGTCCTCAGACAGCAGAGAAGTCGGAGGACAACAGCCTGCGGTGAGTCCGAGGCCAAGTTTAATCCTCTGACAACCACAATCTGCTATAATGAGGAGGAGGAGCACGCAAGGAGGTGTTGAGAAGTTCTTTTTATAAATATTTTTCATTTATTAAAGACAGAGTAAAAAGTGAAGAAGCTATATACAGGATTATCAGCTAGGCTTTACACAGCTACACAACACTTTAGTGCAGTTTAGAACAATTCAAAATATTTCAGAGAGGAGTGACAAAAGTCTATTGTAAAAAGAATAAAGCCCAAAGCACACATAACAACTATTTAAGTGTAAAAGCATAATAAACATGATAACATAATAATAAACATGGGTTTCTGTATATATGATCCATGACAAAGGTTTGAAGGGAATTTAATACTCTTACCTGATGTTTTTCAAGAAAACTAACTAACCTTTCCTGGTAAAAATGTGGCATTATTCCTGTATGCATGTCAGTTTTCCATATATCAAAAATAAAAACAAATGAAATAGTTACCTGATTTAAAATTGACTCTTCTCACTTTGAGGGACATTTTGTTCTTGCATATTTGGAGCACCTCCATTTCTATTCCTTTAAAAAAAAATGCAGTTCTAAAAAAGTTTGAAAGTGACTGTCATGTGAAAATGGCCAGCTTTATATCAATAATAATAATAAAGAAGAATGAAACAAAGAAAAAGGATGCCTCACCAGTTGGAGGCATCACTTCCTGAAAAATGAGCGAGTCTACTGGATAAAATTCTTTACTTTCTCTCTTTTGGGGGGATTTTTTTTTTCTGTCAAGTGACCTATATTTGATAACAGCATAATAAAAGGAGAAATTCTATTTTTTGCGTGCCACCCTGATATTTTTAGTGGTCCCCATATGGCCACCCCTATGAAAGAATTCTGGAGGCGCCCCTGTCAGGTACAAATTTTAGTGTCCATAAAGATGCGTAAGAACGACGGAAATTTAAACTTCCTTCAGAATGGCCCAGGGCAAAGAGTACATACAAGTTGTGTTTTGTGTTAAAACCCTCAGTGTATTGTTTTTTTTTATTATTATTTTTCTATTATTTCACAGTTGTGTGTTCTGCCAGACTTGTTCAATTTAATATAAATAATTAATTAAAAAAATAATAATAATGCAGTGGCAGTGAGTAAGGTCGCTAAAAATATTACGACCCCTCAACTGCATCCTCGCATGATGACATCATTCTGCGACAAGCTTATGAACGAACTGAGTGAGTGTTCCTCAAAGAAGCTAAGCAACGTAAATTCTCTTTTTTAGGACTGATTCGCATCTGAAACTCGGAGACGACAGGTAGGAGAAACGCTTAGCTGTATTGTCAGCCTCGCTTTGGCAGCGTGGAAGGTTTATTTATAAAGCAGCGCCTATGTACTCAAAGGAAAATGATCAGCTAGCCACCCGTTAGCATCGTGCCGCTATGGTTTGACGAACACGTCACGCTCCTTTCAAATCTCTTGCAGTACATCGTGGTCTTTCTTCTAGAATCTAGAGCGACCCTCAGCTGTAATAGAGGAAAACTTAAAGACATATCTTTAACTCTCGAAATCATCTGTCAAATCCGGCCTGTGTTGCATACAGAAAGTAACACGGGTTGACTAAATACAAGCATTTTAGCATCAGCTTCGTCTTTTTGTTGACACATTCTTTCCATTTCGAGTCATGCTCAGTCTGAAGATAAACCAGCTGCTTGTTAACTTCAAAGGAGATAAATTCGTGTCCGACGAGTCAGTTGTAGTCTTAAGTTTTCAGGGTTTCACCAATACAGCATAACCACCTAATTCAGTACCGATTATAGTAATAGCGTTAGACTGCGAGCTTTGTCATAGCAGTTCCAGGAAACCCATTTTAAAACGTAACGTATACCCTCAAGAGCCAAATAAACCGTAGATGTGTGCTGATTTGTAGTTGTCCTAACTGGTATGCTAGCACGCCAAGCTAGAAATTAGCCAGAGATCTTGAGTCACTGTGTCTGCGGTGACTCCTCATAAACTTCACTGATTTGAGCAGTTTAAAACACGACAGACAGATCTCCTTTATCAGCCCGCATCAGCTGTTCTGTTTGTGTAATGGTTTTATGTTCAGAGGTGTTTAACGTTAGCTCTGCTCACACAGTGCTGGAGTTGCTAGAACATTCTCCATGCTAATACCAAAGGGGGTGGCTAAACATATGGTGTGGTGGAAAGAAGGTACTTCCATGTCCCTGACGAGCATTAATCACTGTTGATACAAGGTGTTAATGTATCATTAATAGCATTATCTGGCAGAATACCCAGACAACTAAACTCTACGCCCCCCTCAAAACAGCAATATAGCAGAGGCTGAAACAAAGAAGTTTGTGCAATGACAATAAAGGCATTCCTTCATGCTGCAGAGATCAAATTCAAAATAAGCAGGTGTGATCAAAGTACATCAAAGTTAGTACTCAATCCTGGTTGATACCAAAGAAAGTAATAAATATAACAAAATGTATGCATGCATATAAATACATGCTGCATGTCTACATATAGAGAGTGATGTGATTTAAAAAAAATCAAACACGTCTGCAATATCTGACAGCTAATGAGGTTAATTACTGACCTAATGAGGTGTAAAAAAGGGCATTACTGATGCTGAGTATTTCAGAATTAAAGATGGGGTCTGCAGTTTGTGAGATAGAAAGAGTTAGAGAGCTAGCAGAAATGTCATGAGGGCAAAAGGCTGGAAACCTTTTCCTGTGACCCTTAGGCCTGCAGGCAGCACAGTTTTGAAAACAGACTGGTTTTTATAGTGTAAATACGCCGGCACGGCAACATTTCTGGTTTGGTCCGTACCGTGTAAGGTGTTTAACATAAATTCCTATAGTCAACTAAAGTTAGCCACACTCGTAAGCTTGAAAACTCTGGCTTTAGGCTCAGAACACATTACTGATATGCTATGTGCTTACCCTCTGATCTCCTCTTAGTGTTGTTAAAAGAAGAGGTTATGTAGTACATATTGAAACTTTGCTGAAATATGTTGCTCACATCAAATTCAAAGTTGGCACATATTCTTTTTAATGAACAAATGCACTGCACTATTTTCATATAATGCTTAAGCGGTATTTAAATGATTTGGATTTCATTGCATGCATTATGTCGATTTACAGGGTTCCGGTTCTTATTGGAAACAAGGTTTTAGTTGCAGGGTGTCTCTCCCTCAGTGAGCACAGAGACGCAGCACCTCTGCCGCCATGACAGACAACAAACGCCTCGCTTTCTCCATCATCCAGTTCCTCCATGACCAGCTCCAGTCAGGGACTCTGTCTTCAGATGCTCAGGAGAGTCTCGAAGGTGAGTCCTCAGACATGAAGAAGAAGAACATGAAGCTGCTCAGTTCATTTCTCTCCTGACTCAGAATGCACACTTAAACTTTCTCATGGGGAATAAGTATGATGTTCAGAGTTTGTGTGGTTTGCTGCCGTGTGTCGTAGTGTCTTATAACCACGGACCAGGGATATCATAATGAATGGAATTATTATTATTATTATTATTATATTTGTTTTTATTACAAAAGCTCAAACTTCCTGTGACTCCATTTGACTGTGATCTTGGTCAAAATCATCACTGACTGTTATGCCAGCAGATCTTCTGACTGAGTCAGCTACAGCACTAAAAAAAAGTTCACTTCAATATTTCTTTCCACAACATATATACAGCAGCACACATAGCCTGGCTTCATATGTCTGAGTCTGGGTTGGAGGAGCAGCAGAGGAAACAGAAGTACAAATACTTCAAAATTAAGCAGAGTAACTCATTTTTAGGTATCTGTACTTTACTTGAGTATTGTTTTTTATGACAACTTTTTACTTTGACTGTCTACATTTTTACACATAATCTTATATTTTTTACCGCTTAAATTTACCAAATGGGTTTGTTACTTTGGGTTTAAGACGTTAGTCTGTGCCTTCAAACATCAGACGGATTTGAGCCAAGTAGCCCAGTTGGGACCAGTAGCACATAAAAGACAGTCCTATTGGTGTATCCATCACCAGGTTGTATCATGTACAAAGAAATGAAAGAGGTTTTGTTTATAGAGCTAAGTGGAGCAGAACAATCCAGTGGTGTTCTTGGTGCAGATATCCCTAAGAGGAGCGAGCATACAGGGAATAACGTGTTAAGTAGCAGCTATTTTCAAA